TCATTCATTCATCAATCGATCCATCAATCAATCGATCAATCATTCAATCGATCGATCAATCAGTCAGTCAATCGATCAATCAATCAATCAATCCAACAATCAATCAATTAATCAATCAATCAACTGATCAGTGTACTGACGTCATGAAACAGCGGCCTTTCTTCGGGATCAAACTGGATACATCTCTCGAGCAGGTTGACCAGGGACTTGGGAATGTCAGACCTCACCTGGGTCAGATCAGGTTTCAATCTTCTCGTCGCTACCAAGTACATTATCTGCGATGGTGTTGTGATGATTCTATACAAATCAATCAACAAACCAGCCAGCCAGCCAACCAACCAACCGATTTCCAGCCAACCAACCAACTGACCAACCAACCGACCAACCAGCCAGCCAACCAACCAACCTGATCCCTCTCCCTGATCTTGTAAGGCAGCTGACCGGAGACCAGCTCATAGAGTACGATTCCGTACGCGTAGACATCCGACTTGAAAGTGTACGGGTCGGAGTTTTTCATGCGGATGATCTCTGGAGACTAATAAAAGGTCAATCTCTTCTGTGCACTTCACAAACAAACACACACACATACAGCGTGAGGACCACGCATCACATACGCTAATAGTAACATTTTATCATCCCCACATCATCTTCAATATCGTCGCAACGTCATCAACATCAGCACCATCCTTCCTCCCAACCAACCAACCAATCAACCGACCGACCAACCAACCAACCAACCGACCGACCAACCAACCAACCAACCATCCACATGACAGATCCGGAAGGTTGTTGACACTGGTAGGATCCAGTTCCACTCCACCTCTGCTTCACGGTCGCCAGTCCGAAATCTCCAATCTTCACGCAGTAGTTGTCGTCAAGGAATATATCTGGTGGTAACGATGGCGATGACGTCATTGTTACTATCACGTGACCGTGAGGTGATGATGTAATGGTGTTATGAGGTAATGATGTGAATCTATTGTAATGGTGTGATATAGTGATGGCTAGGCGTATGTATGTAAGTATGTTAAAACCAAAACATGATGAGTGACACTGAACCGTCAAACATCAAGTAACAAATGGATTAACACTTTGATTTGTCGTTAATTGCACATGTCGGCATTCAGTTGGATATTTTCAAGCACACAGACACGCAGGAACCGCTGCAACAAGCACGAAATGTGGTTAGTTGCGAAAAACAGTTCCCTGCTGTCGCCTGATCTAACGCCGATCATGAATGTATGTATGTATGTAGCCTTCGAGTCGCTAATAGATGATGATGATTATGTAACCGAAGATGATGTAACTGGTGATGATGTAACTGGTGATGAACGTAACTGATGACGATATAACTGATGATGAGAAAGAGGATGAAAACGATGATTACAAAGCGCGATATGACGATAATGAACGGACACTCACTATTTGACTTCAGATCACGATGAATGATGTTCTTGGCGTGAAGGTAACTGGAAAGTTTAAGGTACAGTGACGTCATGATCAACATCGTCTTCATCATATTAGCATAATAGCCAACATCTACATCGCTTCATCATCATCTTCTTCATCATCATAGATCATCATCTTACGATGATAATATAATTATTATCATCATCATCAACAACGACATCATCACCGTCGTTGTCGTCATCATCGCCACTAACTCCATCCCTTGAGCAGTCTGCCTGGCGATGTCTACGAGGAGACTCAACTCGAATCTGTTGACCTCAACGTGCAAGTGTTTGTACAAGCTGGAGCCTGGATGACGTCATCGTCATTGTTGTCATCGTCCTTGCTATCACAGTCCTCGTTGTCATTATTATCGCATCCCACCACACCACACCACACCACATCCTGTGACGTCGTCGCATCACGTGACACCACATCACATCACATCACGTGACACCACATCACATCACGTGACATCACCACACAACGTGTGACGTCACTACTAGCAAACCTTTGCACCACTGAGTGACGATGGCTAGCTCGGGTTTCGAGATGCATCCCATGAACAGCAGAATGTTGGCGTGTCTTGTTTTCCTTTATTGTTGTAAACAACACATCCATAAATAACAGTCACGTGCTTATCACGTGATTATAATCATCATCATCATCATCATCATTAACGAGAATATAACAAAATGGTACCACCATCATTAGCATTATCATAAACATTCAACACTTGACATCATCATGCTAATAATGAAATATTGAAATTATCACAACAAAAAACAGCTAACCAAACAGCCAGCAAATAACAAGCCAACCGGTCAGCCGACCAACAAACCGGTTAACTAGCCAGGCGACAAACCAACCAGCTAACCTCAAAACTGTGACTTCGTTTTTGAATGCTTGTAGTTGCGCGGGAGTGGGCTCCTGGACATTCAACTTCTTGATAGCCACCGGACCATACCACTGACCTTTGAAGACCGTCCCGAATGACCCTGACCCAATTTTAGGACCCTCTTTGATGTCGTCTTTTGGGATTTCCCAGTCCTCGTTCGAGTCTCGTCTGTACTGTGAAGTGGCAGGCAACAAAAAATTTAAACAGGGTGATTAAGCAATGACTATTTTTAGAACAAAACTAAAAATCGAAACTATCAATCAACCAACCAATCAAACAATGATGACTGAATTACCCAACCAACCAATCAATCAATCAACCAACAAACCAATCAACCAACCAATTTTTTATGGCTGGTAGTTTCAGCAGATCGTGCTCTTGGCCTACCCTTTGTGTTGTTAGTGGGAGAGGCACGAGCGCTGTAACTATGGTAACCTAACAATAATAATAATAATAATAATAATAATAATAATAACATCATAATAAAGTTAATTTCTAACCTGGTTTTTGACCTTTAGAAGACAGCTGATTCTCCTCATCGCCTATATCTTTTGGCGAGAGATTCGATATATCTGTCATCGAATGAATGAATGAATGAATGAGTGAATGAATGAATAGGTAAATGAATGGGTGAATGAATGAATGGGTAAATGAATGAATGGGTGAATGAATGAATGTATGCATGTATGTGTGTGTGAATGTATGTACGTACGAATAAATGAAGCAACAAATTAGTTAATAAATAAACATATAAATGTATGAATGAATGAATGTATGAATTATTCAACTGAACGAGTGAATGAATGGGTGGATTGGATGAATGAAGGAACAAAAGAACGAACGCATTAATTAAATGAAAGAATGAATGGATAAAAATTTTAAAAAATAATAAAAATAAAATTTGATAATTTCAAAGAGAGGAAGCTTACTTATATCTTTAAATAACTTCTCATTCTCCTGCAATGAAAATCAAATAAAGTAATTATAAATACCTTGACCACATGACCAACCAACCAACCAACCAACCAACCAACCAACCAACCAACCAACCAACCAGCCAGCCAACCAACCAACCAACCAACCAGCCAGCCAGTCAGCCAACCAACCAACCAACTAACCAATCAATCAACCAGTCAATCAACTAATCAACCAATCAATCAACCAGTCAATCAATCAATCAATCAATCATCTAACCAAAAAATCCTGATCAGTACATATTTGATTGACGTTAGGAAATGATGTGGCTCGCTTACTGCATGGAGGTCTGTGACGTCATAAAAACATAGAATAATAATAACAATTAACAGCAACATAAAATATAACAACAATTAAAAACAACAACAGCATCAACAACAGCAACATCAACAACAACCTCAACGACAACAATAACGTCAACAACATCAACAACCACAACATCATCAACAACAACGGCAACAACAACAACCTCAACAACAACAACAACAACCTCAACAACAACAAAAACGTCAACAACATCAACAACAACACACCTTTTTGGCATCGTTGGAATTTCGGGAGGATAATTGAAAATAGTGCTGCAAACATGAGAATAATTTTTATTTTCAAATATCTCATAGATTTAAAAAGACATTATCACCACCATCATTTTCATTATCATTATCATTGTCGTCGTCATTATCATCGTCGTTATCCTCGTTATCATCATCATCTTCATCATAACTGACCATCCACCATGTGGACCATGCATAGTGGGGTAAAAGCGGTGTTGCGGGAGGTGAGGGCCATCCGAGGTACCCCCTAGATTGCCCTGCCTGTCTGGGTCGCATTTCACGTGGAACTTTCTATTGCAGACCTGACATTTGATGCCTGCATATGTGTAACGCCGACGACATGATGGTGATAATGAGGACGACGACGATGATGATGGTGACGACGACGATGACGATGAGAGAGAGAGAGAGAGAGAGAGAGAGAGTGTGTGAGTGAAAAAGAGAGAAATGAAACAGACGACCCTCACCTTGAAATATTAACTTGTGGCAGGCATCACACGATGCTGAAAACAGAGTTTTCCTTTGCTGAAGATATAAAAAAAGATGCAACAAAATTATCATCATCATCATCCTCATCCTCGTTATCATCGTCATAATTAGAGAAAACATCATTGAAGATATAGAGGCGGTCATCACTACCACCATCGTACTAAGTAACTAACAAGCAGTTTTTTTTTATGGTCGGATTGGAAACGAAAATTATTTTCTCCGCCGGAGTAAGAGAGGAAGATATTATTACAGTAGTTAAAAGTTTCTCAAAGACCCAATTATTACAAATAAGAACCAGATTTTATTTACGCTCTTCATCTCGCGGCTCTGACACACGAAAACTGCTTGCGCATCGTTCTATACTTATAGTAAAATAGTTGAACTTTCGTGCCGCAAAGGCTGCAACATCCACACCACACCACGCCACACACCACACGACGTGAATACGTATTTCGTAGGCACGCGCATGAATGGCATGTAAAATTTTTCAGTTTCGGACAGGCAGTATTCAAACCAGACCACGGCCTGATAAGAGCGCGAGGCATGGCGATTCTGACGACTAGGCCAGCTCGGCAATTATTGTAAAAAAAGTTGGTTACATTTTTTTTAAATAGTTGAGAGAGCTGAAAAAAGCTGAAGTTATTAACTTACAAAGTTATGCCCCAAGTTGCTCGTCTTACAGCTGACCAGCTTCAACTGCACGTAGATCTCCATGCCCGAATAGTTCTCCATCGGCGAGTCCCAAGGAACCTCCGTTCTGTCAATCAATCAATTAAAAAATCAATCAAAAAATCAATCAAAAAATCAATCAAAAAATCAATCAATCAATCAATCAGTAAATCAATCAACCAACAAAACAATTCATGCAATCATCCAGTCATGATCAGTCACTCAGATTACTCAGTCAGACCAATTCACCAGGGCCAGCAGAAAACAAACCGACCTGGATTGCTTTTCAAATACGGCACACATGTTGACCTCGAGTCCCCTCCTGGTCAGGCCCTTCGTCAGAGCCTCTCGAATGGTCGCCTCCGGTTTCACCTTGATCTGAAAAAGAAGGTCAAGGTTGCACTGAAATCTACAACGACTCAACAACTATGTAACAACAACAACAAAAACAATGGCGTGGACAGAATAAAAAACTATTCAACAACTCAAACTACACGGTGAACGCAACAACATCTCAACAACTGTACAGCAACAACAACACAAACGACAGCTGCTAAAATCTCTATGAACAAAAAATCAAACTACTCAACAATGATAAAAAATACCCCAATAAATATCGGAAAAATACACCAAAGAATAATAACAAACAACATCAAAAACAAAGAACAAAAAACAGCAACAAACAAACAAACAAACATAACAACAAACGCCAATGAAGAGAAAAAATAAACAGTAAAAACGAAGCAAGTCAAAATTCTCTTTCAGCAACAGCACATCAATAAAATAATTTGTATATAAAAAAAATTTAACGCAAAATTCTAAACATGCTAAATGTCAGGTTTACCAATACACACACATACACATTCTAATTCTAAACATGCTAAATGTCAGATTTACCTATACAAACACATACACAAATACACACATACCTATGTAACTAATATATACCTCTGCTAACCAATCATAGCCAATTTAGTCATCAATAAAACTGCTAACATCAACAACAAAAACAAAAAACAACAACACTAACAACAATGACAATAATAATAATAACAATAAATAGCAGCAGCAGCAACAACAACAACAACAAACTATCTACTAAACATTTATTCAAGGTTAAACAACCCTGGAATGCATACATAGGAATGGAATGACCAATAAGCTATCATCATCGTCGTCGTCATCATTATCCTTTTTATCATTATCATTATCGACATAGCCATCAGAAATACATACACATGCACGCACACACATATACATACACACAAACACATACACATATGCATATATACATGTATACATACATACATACATACATACATACATACATACATACATACATACATACAAACATACATACATACATACATACATACATACATACATACATACACACCAACACACACACACATAATACACACACATACACACACACATACATACACACACATATGCATATATATACACACACACATACATACAAAATCATACACACCCATCAACTACTATGAAGACGAAAATTCTAGACTGTGCCTAATAGTGGATACTTTGTCCAAGGATCATCTGCCTTGCTTGCATGGAAACTTCAAATTCAGCAAACTCGCATGTTTGCACAACTTTTTTCTTCATCATCATCATCATCATCATCGTCGTCCTCCTCATCATTATCAGCATCGTCTTATCAATAATCATCATCATCAATGATAACTTAATATAATTATCTTATAACTTATAAATAAAATATAACTTATATATATTATCTCAGTAGTGATTTATTTTTTGATGAAAGTTAAACTCTTACAAAAAAAAAAATTGAAATGATTGAATGTTTAGAACTAACAGTGGAGTAATTTCAGCTATTTGAATAAGTTAGGAGCAACTCAAAGAATTTTAATAGGTTTGTTTTTCTTTTAAAAAAATCTGGGTAAATATTTGGTTGTTGATAAGAATTGGTTAAGAAAGAGTGGATGCTATCACAAGAATTACACAACAATTTGAAAAAGTCCATCCTTCACCTTCTATCAGATGGCAATAGTGACATATGTGGTACAGCATAAACATGTACTGTACACCGCACATATACAAATGTACAGAATGCACATACAAACACAATATATACACACACACAGATGAAACATACACAGACAAACACGTACAATATACAAATACAAACACATACACAACATACATTTATAAACAACACACATACGTTCAAAAAACAAAACATACATACAAAATTTACAACAAATACACAGACACAATTAATGTATGTAAATACACACCATACACCTATGCAATTATATAAACGAGATGCATATAAACTCAAAATACACACATACAAAACACATATTCACACGTACAAACACAGTGACACACGCACGCACACACACGCACAAACAAACCGTGGATATTTGATTCTGTGGTAGGTAGACTCTGACAGTGTCTTTAAGATGAGGTGCCAGGTTGACAGATGTGTAGTTGTA